CCTTAATGACTGCTAGGGCTTACGTGGCATAGTGAAGACCAGGACGTGGTCTTCGCCCTAGTCCAACTGCTCCTAGATCTCCGGAACGTGGGTTTGACCTGCTCTTTCGGAGGTGGGCAGTTGGTTGATGACGTGTCCCCGCGGAGGGGAGCACGTGGAGAACGTGCACCGGGCACGTTGTTCTCCCCGCAGAGGGGAGCTCGCGAGGTGCCCCAGAGCACGTTGTTCTCCCCGCGGAGGGGAGGAACCAAGGCCGCGCTTTGGTGTGCCGGGGTTGGTTCTGCCCGGCTGGTAAGAGGGACGATGAGCAGCTGTTGGATGCGCTGCTTGTGTCCGGCGACATGCCCTACTCGTCTCGCGGGACGCACGTGCCCGGCGTGCCCGATTCGCCTGTTGGGCCGTACGTGGTATTGGGCCTGCCGAGGTCGGGCCCAGACCGGAACAGGAGCCCCCCAAGTCGAAGCTCTGGGGAGAGAGCAAGGACTTAAGGTCGCTGTGTCGGGGGAAGAGGTAACCGAGCCGGAGGTTCGTCGGGACTCGTGCACGGTGGGACGACTACCCACGTGTCGGCGGCGACGGGGTGAAAGCAGGCGAAGGGATGCGACTGTCAGGCTGCCGCCACGTGTCGTGCGTTTAGCGGTCGTAGGGGCGGCTACCCTATGTCATTAATGAGCCTAGCGTCGCTTCGAATCCCGCGCCGGGTTATAAATACGGGGGTCCCCGCTCATTTTATTACTTTTCAATCTGCTGTAGTGTCTGCGAAGCTCTGTCATCACTGCTCGTCCGCCGCTTGCCGTCGATCGCCGCCGCATCGTTTGATCCTTTCCTCCGTTCGCCGCCGTTACAAGTGAGTTCTCATTTCTCTCCTCTTTTATTTCCGTCGTTTAATTGGAACATGTGGTCGGGGCATGATGAATGCCCCGAGGAGGGACGCGAGAACCGCCGCATCTGGCGGACTTTCTGATGAGCGTCCCGGGGAGAATCGGCTAATTCCGATGAATGTCCCGAGGATGAGGGCTTTCTTCGATGAATGCCCCGGGGACGAGCGCCTTTTCCGGTGAATGCCCCGGGGAGGCGCGCTTTTTCTGGTGACCGTCCCGAGGAGGGATGGCGGGTTGGTTTTAGGCGCCCCGAGGAGGGCAGACGGGGAGTGAGTGCTAGTTCGTCGTTTTCCGGCCTTTGTCGCCCTTTCACTTGACCTGCGGTGGAAGGGTGGATTTGATCCTGGCTATCGAATTCACCGTTGTCCTCTGCTTTTCAGGTGTAGATGTCGGCTCTGGTACCGGGGATAATGGTCGAAGACAACGAACCCGAGGTCCCGGACTTTGACGACGAGCGCATTGCCCCCTCCGAGGAATGGGCGGCCGAGGAGCCGTTTTCTACCCCGTCTTGTTTTGTGGCTGACGCGTCTGACGTGTACGCCACCGTCGAGGATACGCCTATAGGGGAGCCACAGCACTGGCAGGTGTACCGACCAAAAGAGCATCATCGTATCTGCTCGCGCTATGGGCGGCGGATGTTCCCGATGCATGAGTTCTACTTTAAAGAAACTCGGCTCCGGTTACCGTTCACCGCCTTTCATCTGGGGCTCTTCGATTGGTTGCGCCTGGCCCCGTCCCAACTGCACCCCAACGCCTTGGCTTTCATCCGCGCTTTCGAGGTGGTGTGCTTCTACCTCTCGGTGGAGCCGACGGTACCGTTGTTTTTCCGCATCTTCCACTTACAGCGGCAGACGGTGAATGGCCGCCACAGATGGGTTTCCTTTAAGCAATCGACCAAACTTTTCAAAGCGTATAGTGATTCCGTCAAGGATTTCAAAAGCCGGTTCTTCCTCGTCAAACCGATCACACAGCAGGGCTCAGATACTCTCTTCGACGAGGGCGAGCGAATGGTAGATGGCCAGCGGTTCCTCGCGTGGCTTCCTAAGATACATCTACTGTGGACTGCGGAGCATTTCAACCGAGGAACGGATATGTATATCATCCGGGCGGGGACCCTCGAGGAGAAAGACATGGCCGCCTATTTGAAAATAGTCGCCTTTGTGCGGTCTCTCCCTCCGTCGAAGCTGGTGACGCCCGACGGTCGGTATATCCTCGACGCGCATGGGAATGTGCGTACTAAGAAGCGTTTGATTAATACCAAGACCCTGCTCGGTTGTGCGACCGGGGCGGCCGCTCTGGATTATCTAGGTAGGAATGTTCATTTTTCTCCCCGTGGTCGGGGCTTCGACCGTCGCTAACTCTTTTCTTTGTTTTTGCAGCGAACATGTCTTCCGTCGAGGAGCGGGTGAAGCAGTTGCGTGCCACCAGGAATGTCGCGGTCCCGAGGACGAGGGTGAGCCAGCTGGTCGGACAGGTGGTCGCGACGCCGGGGGAGGGGGGGCAGAGTTCGTCCTCTTCGCCTCAGGGGAGTCAATCTCCTGCGTCTCAAGGAGCATCGAAGAGGCAGAGGTCCGAGGAGCCCTGAGGTGTGGTAGATCTGACGGTCGGTACGGCTGAGGAAGGTTATGTCGTCCCGCCCTGCCATCAGCATCCGGGCTATTTTCATGGTGCCCGTTCTCCTACCGTCTCCGCTGGGGAGGTGAAGGTTGTTCGTTAGGCCGATCAAGAGACTCGTCGACGTGTTCTGGCTGAGGACTTGGCTGCAATGATGCGGACGTTCACGACGGCTCTTGTGCTGAACGAGGAGGGCTGCTCCGCTGCCGAGCTGTCTAAACTGCAGGGGGATCTTACCTTTATGCAGTCGCGATTGGCCAAGCTTACTGAGGAGTTGGAGAAGAGCCAGAAGGATGTTGCTGAGCAGCGAAAACGGGCAGAGGGTGCTGAGGGGAAGGTGACTTCGCTGGAGGAGAAGCTGGGGGAAGCGACGGCCGAGGTGCAGGCGCTGAAGGTTCGCACGGAAGTCTTGGACAGCGCAGTCCGTCCAGCCGAGGACGAGACAGATGGAGATCGACGGTTAATCACTCGTGCTGACCTGATTGCCCGTATCCGGGTGTTGGAAAGCGACTGTCTGGAGGCGGTTGAGGTCGGATTCAAGAGCGATGTTGAGCAGATTCAGGTCGCCAATCCTGGTGTCGCGCTGGCCGTGGATGGGATCGGGCCGTACCACGAGATCGTTGACGGGAAGGTGGTCGATCCCTATCTTGTTGTTCCTGAGGAGGATCCCGTGATCGCTGATCGGGCGGACGAGGTAGCATGAGTCGCCGGGTCTGCGTGCTCGTTGTTTTTATGGCCTGCGTGCCGACGTTTGTGACATCTTTCTTTGGGCCTGCGTGCTCTGTTTTTGTAACATTGACTATTGGGCTGGTGCCCGCCTTTTGTTTAATATATTTTTTGTGGATTTTCTAAGTGTGCGCTCGGTATTTGCATGACGTTTATGTTCGTTTTTCGTATTTGTTTATTTGGATGCTTTTGAATGCTTTTGATGTGTATGATATTTCTAATAAAATTTCTAAGTGTGCACAGGATATAGTAGAAGATATTCATTAGGAAAATTAAAATTTAAATGGTAAGTTAGTTTGATTTACATTTTCTAAAGAAATATTTGAGCAAAGGATAAAGTGTAATGTATTTTTATTATATTAACTAATAAAATATCCATGTTTTCGCACGAATTTGTTAGTTAATAATTAATATGTAAAATTATTTTTATAAAATATTGTATTAAGTAATAAAACTATATAGCTTTGTTTCATGAACTAATGATAATATTAATTAGGAAAAAAAAACTTAACTACATTTTTGGTTCTTTATTTTGATATTTTTTAACTTTTAATTTTTTCATTCAAAAAATCAGCTTTTTGGTCACTATACTTTATATCACTTGGAATTTTGATGATTCTCCTTTACTTTTAATTTTACATATGGTTCCTATACTTTATATCACTTGAAATTTTGATGATTCTCCTTTAATGATAATATTAATTAAAAAAGAAGAAGCTTAAATACACTTTTGGACCTCTATTTTGATATTTTTTGAACTTTTAATTTTTTCATTCTAAAAATCAGCTTTTTGGTCCCTATACTTTATATCACGGGATGATTCTTCATCCCTTAATTTTATATACGTGGTAATAATGATGAGCAATGATGACTATGATTATTTATTATTTAAAATTAGTCTTTAAGCTAAACCCAATCCTTCGGTCCACTATTATACAACATAGTGTGTTTGTTTTATATATATATATATATATAAACACTAATGTTTTTTATTGAAAAAACTATGTGAGACTTTATTCTCAACAAGCACTTCAGCAACAACAACAACCTTTCTCCATTATTAAGTTTAGAATAAACAAGGGAAAAGAACAAAGGGGTGTGTTGAAAAAACCAAGTCTCATATATCGATAATTCGGGCCACCCACCGTTTATATTCACGCATTAAGCTCAATAGTACTGGACGTGAGGGGGTGTATTGAGAAAAACCCAAGTTCCACATTGATTAAAAATAAAATACAATCTACAAAGAGTTTATATAGAGTATTGAGAAAAATCCAAATCACAATTTTGTAGGGTTGAATTAGATCAAATTCTAATTCTATCTTTGACAAGCAAAACGGAAGAAAAGTAGTGTGGATGGGTCTTTGACAAATAATACCATACTAATTGAAACCTTAGCATTGCGAAAAACTTCATATTCATTTATTTTTCTTTAATTGAGAGAAATACATGAGGGTCTTATATTATTAGCTTTTGAAGAGAAGTCACTTCCAACTAACTACCTAACTCTAAATTTAATTCAGATTTTGTAACAAAAACTATAATATTGAAAAACAAATCAACTAAACCAAACAATCTATTTTCTATTATCTCAATTTTTATCTAAAAAAAGAACTAACCAAATCATATTACAGCACTAATGTTTTAAGATTTCAAGAATCAACTAGCTTAGTCAACAACAAAAAATCACAATTTTGAACACATGACTTACTCAGTCTCAATGTAAACAAAACCCACCATGTGGAAATTAAAAATGATTACAAAATTGGCACACTCAATTCACCAAAAGCAACTCATCAAGCTAATAAGAAAATGGAAGAGATAGTTTTCTTGATGAAGCATCTCACGTCGAACCATTCTCAAAAGAACAACATTGTGAGGTAAAAGACCACTATAGTATAATATTGTTGGGATTGAAGTTGAAGGCTCACCAATTAATGATGTTAGAAACCTCACAATTGACCTAAACATCAAAGTTGTAAGAGACTGCAACAAACAACAAGCACATTGAGAGAGAAAACAAAATCACTACCTATAAATAATGAATTGGATTAAGAAAATAACAAAAGGAAAAGATGTATACTAGTACATACCATGATTAACTAGGGTTTTGAGATGGAGAATATAAGATTTGGTTTTTGAGTTCAATTTTTTTTTCCGGGTGGTTTCTCAAAGTATAAGCTAGATAATGAAACCAATAGATATAGCTAATATTCAAACCAACCCGTCAATGTGAGTTTTAATTTAATATATATTTTGACTTGGAAAGTTTAGAAAGTTATGTACATGTCATAAAGTTAGGTGGTCCTTTCCGGAAAAAAAATATTATGTGCCATAAAGTTGGGTGAATATGGTTGGAATTAAGTGTATTTTTTTAAGGTGATATTTAGGTTATTCATTCATGATAAAATATGGATGATTTATTCAATGTGATATGGCATTAATGAAATTAAGGCACATTAAGGTTAATTTTTAAGTAAAATCTACTAGTTAATTTTTTTTATCACAAGTAAACTTTATTAATTTAAATTTAAATAATATATTTAAGATTTATACTTTTATGAAATTTTACTTTATTTTTTTTTTAATTTTTAATTTTTTTATCAAAGTCCCATTCCCTTTAAAACAAACTTAAAACAATTACAAGTGGACTTGGTTAGAAAATTTAGGATCAGACATGGTCCTATTATTGGTATCACTCAAACAAACCCTGGCAAGGGTATGTATTTCATTATTGTTATCTCTTTGCGTGTATCTGATGTATCGCTTTAAAATCTATCACTATCTTTTTCATCGTTTTGCAGGTTATTCTAACTCCAGTATTAGGAAAATCTTTGTTGTTCTTCATCATGTTAATTAAAGTCAAGTTGTTTGTTGAGGAATCAACTCAATTGAGGTTTAAAAGGATTGATTTCTCCATCGCCATCTCGAGCGCACAAGCTTCAACGGCTTAAACGTTTTCATTTTCTTTTTTTCTGATCGATTCTTGCAGGATGATTCATCTTATATGCGTCCTTTATGATGATACATATCCTCTAGGTTCCTTCCATTATGAGGCTCGCATCACTATTAACTCTTGCCCAGTTCTCTTTTTCAGGTAAGGTTTGAATCTCGATTATCTTCTCTAGAGATGTGTTCTCGATATCATTGTTTGTATCGCTGTTAACATTATGTTTTGTTCCATTAGCATGCTTTAAATTGTTTTGATACTGCATTTGCATGTAACTTATCTCCTTATCCTTGTTTTTCTTCTTCTGACTTTGTTTATCTTTCTTTCTGTGATTATTTATTAATTTGCTAATTTGGGGTTGTGGATATATGTGCTCACACATGCAAAGTTGAAAATATCGCTAAAGATCCATCTGAAGTTTTGATGATAACAATGATGCTTAAAATCAGTGGAAATAACTTTCAACCTTGATGATGATGATCTATCTAAAGAACCATTTCATGCCTCATCAAAAAGAGATTCAAGATCAAAGTGCTTATATAATCAGAAGCAATCCAACAAAAGTCTTGAAGCCTCAAATAAAGTGTGAAAGCTCCCCAAGTCATATCTTTCTGTCTATCTGAGTGACCCAAGTGTTGGAAAGTAAGGAAGTAACTTAGAAGTACTAAGTCAACTCACACACACACCTAAAATTCTTCAAAATTATTTTTATTTTGAATTTTTTTCTAAGCCAGACCCAAGTGATTAAAAAGACGTCTGTAATACCCTGATTTTTACTCCTAAGATCCCACATGTCATTTGCATCTCATCCCATAAACAATATTGTAAGCTTTGGTTCTCTTGCCTTCCTCTGCAGGTTTGTTCTTGAGAGATCACCGGACACCTTTATTTTCTTGTTTGTTTGATATTTGTTTATGTTTATGTTTACTAACCATTGATTAAAATCCAAAAAATATTTGTTTTTCCTCTAACTTCTTCAGGAAGATTTTAGAGCAAAGATATCAAATATCAATCCCTCAGCTCGAATGAGTTTCATCTGAACAAAGTCGAAGTTGATCTGCAACCATTCCAAAATCATCTGATCAAGAGTTTCCCAAGATTTGATTGACTTTTATTCAAGAGACTCCAAGGTTCATGTGTTTATTTCCATTCCTTCTTTGACAAGCAAAAGAATCGAGTCAGAGCCAAGACAACACATCAAAAAGGCAAATTTTCACCATTTTTGCCTGTGGTAATCGATTACCAGTATTGGGTAATCGATTACCCTGTGCGAATTTTGTGAAAATTGGGCAAATTCAAATTCTGCAGCATTTTTGGCACCAAATTCAAATATTGCAACATGAGAATATTCTAGATCACTTCATTTTAATTCCCCTACCTCATCATAATTAATTCCCATCATACACCTTCACTAATCACCACTTGATCATTAATTTCCCTCCAAATTCAAATTCTAAGCCTAACTTTGATTCCAAACCAAACTCCAATCCACCAAATTTTCCAAGCCTAAATCCTATAAATAGAGGCCTCATTTCTCTCATTTCATAAGCTTTTGATAGTCAAATTCACCTTGTCAAATTCTTTCTTGACTCTAAATTTTCTCCAATTACCAAATTCACCAAAACTCTTTCTTCCTTTTAAAGTTAGTAAGTTCATCATTAGAACTTACTAATCTTTGAGCTAAAACTTCATCCATTCACTTTTTCATCATCAATTTTAGTAGATCAAGACTTTGAAGTGTGGTTTGTGGAGCTGATTTGAAGAATTTCCAGATTTGGAGTGGTAATTTCTTAATTCACCATTGTTGCTCTTGATACATCATTCACAATGTGATCTATTATTTATTCTTGTTGTTTGATCTTTGGATCTTGCAAATTGTGTTTTGTTGGTGTTGATTGCTGTTATTTTACTTGAATTTTCATCTCAATTGCATCCTTGATCCTGAGGTGTTTGGAGAAATGATTAATCAAGTTTCTGCACTTTTTAAAGCTGATTTGTTGTTGTTTTAGCAGTGGTAATCAGTTATCCAGTGTCCATTTTGAGTTTTTGGCTCTGTTTTAGGATTGTTTTGGTTCTTTCTTCTTCTTCCATTTCCTTTTGGTTTTTGCCTTGGAATGCACTTTTAAAGGTCATTTTCCTCTTTAAATTCATTGGACTTAGGGCATAGATGAAGTTGGATAAACATTCACTAATTCAAATCTATCTTTAAGGTGAATTATTCAATTTATTTTAGGTGCTTTGAGTTAATGATATGTTTAGTGCTTTAATCCACCAAGATGAGTGGATGAACTTAAAGACGAAATGAACTTGAACTTGTAATCCAATTTGGCATTCTCTTTCCTCTTCTCTTTTTTCTTTTGATCAATGAAAATCTTTGATATCGTTTGAACTTATTTCAAGTTCTTGAGGAAGATGAGATCATTACCTATTTTCTTTTCGTGCGGTATTTCTTTTGGAGAGTGATCTACATATCACTTCTCTAGTATGCATTATGATCCGCTGTCGCGCACGGATCAAAACGAGTGTTTTTATAAAAATGCAGTATAACGACAATGACTCGAATCATATCGCAAGGATTCTTGTAGGAATAACCAAATACAACAACGAAATATGGGGGGGTTGTTCAATGGATGATGAGGTTGGGGCAGCCGTGATGTTAAGAGTTTTAGCTACATAAACAACTTCATCTGTATGAAAAACATCACCCTGTACGGTAGCATTAATCTCAGCACAAACAGAGCAAATGTTAGTGTCGGTACATGAATCACAAGAGTAAGTATCACCAAAATCTGCTAATGATGGAAAATCAAAACACAATTCAGAATAAGTATTATCAACTAAATTAGAAGGAGACTCTTTTGGATTCACTACTGTTTGGGCAGGTGGTTGGTTTAATTCTTGAGCTTGCTGCATGACATTCACTATAGTGGCAAGCTGTTTAATCTGTGTCTGCAAAGCCTGAAGACTTGAATCTGTTTGTTGCTGAAACTGAAGATCATTTATAGCCATTTTCTTGACAAGGTCCTCTAGTGAAGGTTCAGAAGGTTTAAAGCACATAATTTGGAATTCCTTCATATGCTTATTCGGATCTTCACCTGCAAGACCATTAAATCTTGGCAACAGGTTTATTAAACCAGATTTCAATTCGAAAGGTACATTAACAGCAGGATATTCCATATATAAAGTATTATAATTCATATCAGGAGCAGCTAATTGCCTTAAGGTTCTATTATCAGCCATTTCAAAATCAAGTTCAATGTATGAAGCAAACAAGTTATGCAGATAGTTAGACTTAGATAGTCAAAAACAAACACAAAGAAGGGAATCGATCAAAAAAAATTCATAAAAATAAAATGACACCGAAATTAATCTAATGACTTAAAAATATAATTTTGAGAATTTTTTTGATTTTTTTCGACTCTATGAAAACAGTAAAAAAAATTATTAAAAATAGAAAAATGATGAATTTGGCGAAACTGATCTAAAAAGGAAGACGATTTGTTCAAAACCTGGTTTTTTTACAAGGTCTAATGAGAAACGGGCGAAACGGAACGGCTGGACGCAAAAACGCAAGAAAATACACAAAAATACAGAAAATTAAAACAAACAAAACCTCAAACTAGACTATTGGCTAAATCAACAAGAATCCCCAGCAACGGCGCCAATTTGATCCGCTGTCGCGCGCGGATCAAAATCGAGTGTTTTTGTAAAAATGCAGTACAGCGACAGTAACTCAGAATATCGTTCTCAAGGATTTTTGTAGTGATTGACCAATAAAGTAACCGTTTATGGGGGTTTGAATTTTGATTAAGAGAAAAAAATACTTAAAATAAGTGACTATAAAAAAAGTGATTATTAAAATAAGCTAAAACGGCTAATCCTACTGATTCGGGTTCCGACTTATCATCGACTATTATAACATCAATCCCTAAGCGGTACCAATCCTATTCGATTATGATATTAATCAGACAAGTGCTTATCAACATCAAATGAATTATGTTCCTGTTTACCGAATTAAGCAGACGGTTAAGAATATGACGAATTAACGAATTAAGCAAACGATAACACACAATTAAATTTAGGAACATGCATACAATCGAATTTAATCAATTCTATCCTATGAACAACAATTGAATTAAGCAAACA